ATATCTTTTAATTCCCTTTGGGTGTGGTGTGGTTTTGTTTTTTTTTTTTTTACTAATGGTACTAAAAACCTGATATAAATGTGAGGAATTGACCATATATGCCACAGTAGCTATTTCTGAGCTGTTGAACCTGGTTTTTTTAAATATAAATTACACTTTTTAAGGAATATTATTTTACAGGAGTTTTAAAATCAGACTTTTTCATCAAAGATTAACATTTATGAAACTCACAAATCTGCTTTATCATATCAATATATGTTTAGAAAAAATGTCAAAATACATATCATTTATACTTGACAGAATGAGGTGGTCATTCTATAAAGGACAGGGCAAACTATTATGGAATACATTTGAACGGAACTTTTCTAAAAGTACATTTTTTAAACTGTTCTACTACAGTTCCAAACCCATCTTTTTTAAACTCCATCATATATCTACACGATGGAGTGGCTATGACATGAACAGAAATCTGAATGCCAGCTTCTTTAAAAAAAAAACCAAACCCAAAGAATTGAGCATGCTCAGTAGACATTTTCATAAGAGCTTCTTGGTTAAGATGCAGGCTCTTTGATCATTTTTGACCAAAACTATTGATCTGTGTTTATAATGAAAACACTACCATTGCCTGCTGTTTGGGGAGCAAAAATGGAGCTACCATATTGAGCAGATACAACATTGCACTGGCTCAAGTAAGATTTTTGCATCCTGTTGTTGACATTTAACTCTTTGTCTTCTAGTTTTCTGCCATAGCCCCTTGTTCATGAAGGGCTACTACGTCCCAGTCAAACATTGTAATATCAGTTTTTCTAAAAGTTTGCTTACAGCCCGACAGGCAAAGAAGTCCTCTCTACCTTGGATGGTTTCACAGCCAAGGCTGTCAAGGAATGGGTGAAAAGTAATTGTTTTCAAGTGTGCCCTTTTACAATCATTTGTTTGCTCTGGCTCTTTCACGAACAAAGGCTATTGTTGAACACATCCAACTAAACAAATAACTCATCTTGGGGTCCCTTTAACAGCTGCCTTAGTACAATGATCTATTTACATATTACCCTAAAATTGAAACCGAACTCTTTAATGACATAATCCAGCACTATAATACAGAAGAAGCATATGTTCAACCCAACAGCTGAACAATCTCGTAAGCATATGATTTTTAGACATAAATGCTTGTATATCAAACACGGCTTAATGCAATGACTTATTTCACTGTTTGGTTTTTTTTTCCTGTTAACATCAAAATTATACTGCCTTTCTCAAACTAGATATGACAGAGTACACAAAACAGATGACAATATTCAACATAAAGAATTTTTGTCTATTGTGTCGTCTTCTGTTTCTTCTTCTTTGCACTACTCTTTTTGTTGATAAACCAATTTAGTATGCTATGCTTTCCTGCGCATTCCAGGATTTATCTTACCTTTAGCCTACCCGTTCTACTTTCATGTGGCTAGAGATTAAAGGATGATCTTACAGATGTTGTAAATTAGTCAGCAGCAGGCATAATCATTATTAGGCATGTTGCAATAAATGTTTGGAAGTTTTACATATTTTCCAGAGCACAGTTAGTTTAAACCACTGCAGTCTGATGGTTTCACATACGACTTTAAAAATTGAAGCAGGAAATCAGTTTACATTTCTTCAAAAGACCAAAGCCATTGTCAACTTTAAGGTCATTTTCAAAGTAGAAATCCAACAGAAAAAGCTTCATTCAAATAAGTGTTTCAGCTTTTGCTTAAAAGCGGTTTAATATACTCCAGGATAAATACATTATCGATTTACTGAAATTCAGAATAGAATGGTTGTCCTATCTCCCAGGCAGGACAGACAGTTATACATCAGACCTCACACAGAGCAAATGTTACCACCCTATTTTGCTTGAGTATTCTAAAAGTTAAATAACATTGTACTTGATTTTCAGATAATTGATCGACTCTCATTCCTTAATCTTCCGATTAGCTATTATATGACCAAGATTCATTCCAGAAATGACATGAGGGGGTGAATTCCTGTGGTTAATTCCTGGATAGCAGCTGCTCAGGGGGATTAGGATCCTTTTGTCTTAACTTTGAGGACTGAAATGTTGGCAAGCATTACTTCTCCTGTATCACCAGGCAACGTCAATTATGCTTTCCACAAGAAACAGTAAATTAGCTTTGCTATCCTGTAATTTTTTTTTTTTTTTCCCCTGTTCCCAATGCATTCTGGAGTTTTCCAGTAAAAGTACAGTTTTCTATCTGCATCACTGTGGAGTTAATTCAATAAACACACTGAATATTTACCTAGTAATACCTCGTGTTGTACTTCTAAACACACCATCATACTGCTACCACAAGAAAGCCTACTGCCTGAGATCAACTCCCTGATGAAAACATCGGAGACTTTTGCAAAGCAGGTGATACTACCGAAAGTAGGCAAATACTTTGAGGAGTCTGTAGTCATGGTGCACTTTCCTTTGGTGATAACACCAAAATAGGTCATTTCATCCTTACATTAGGAGAGCTCCCAGCTTCTTGGTGACATGATACTCTTCAAAAGTAACATTTATGGATAGTGCTTTCGATCATCCCCTATTGGCTTCAGACTTTGCTCTATTTGGCAGACAAGGACTTGACTGAATTATACAGGCCACTTCCCATCAGAACCACAGCAATGCAAAGTACCAAGGTCAGGATGCCATCGTCCCTAAAAGTCCAGCTAATGCAGAAGATTGCCTCAGCAGTGTGGATTACTGCAAGCATATAAAGTCTGTTCTCTACTACCTGGATTGCAAACCTAGGCAGTATTAAGTCAAGTTCAAAGTTTTAGTTGTTATGTATTTTGGTTATAGTTTATTGTAGTTATCATTATATTTTTAGTTCTCGTCTTCAAGGCATTTTTCCCCAGATCTGCCATATCAAGAACAACATCTGAAACTCAAGAAAGAAGACTAAGGTTAACAGTTCTGCTGCTATGGCCCAGATGAGCAATCTAGTGAAAAGAATCTAAACTTTTTCAGGAGGGAAGGGGCTGAGGCTGTGGAAAGAATTCCCCAAAGAATTCAGGGCCAATGCAAACCTTCTGCCATACATGCAACATGCAATTAATTGATTACTGTCATCAAGGGTTTTTTTAAAAAAAAAAAAGACAGACAAACCCTTTCCAAAAGAAGATATGAGACAATTATATTTGCAAGAAGGGTCTGAAGAGAGATAATAAACCATATGTGGCAGATGTTAGTCACATTACTTAACTGCAGGTGCTATGAAGCCGAGGATAGTCTGAGAACAGATAGTCTAAGGAACAGAACATTACATGCATTTAACGATCCTGGAAAATCTGGAGGAATTCTTTTTGAGGCCAATGGCAGCTCTGCCAGAATAAGGGTAGAAGCCAAATGGTGTTCTTCTAATCAGTGGTCCAACTTACGCCACTAAACTTTAGTACACATTTCAGATGGCCTTTTGACAATATATGTATGGTAAGACTAAACTTTCCTGGAAAGAGTTTGCCTTTGAAATTAAGGTTCCTTTAAATAGGATTTTGTGTAACTGTACAGGCCATATATTGTGTAATATTTTGAATACGTATCTGTTTAAAACAAGGGAGAGTGCATTTCTCTCAAGCATTTGAAGTTTATGTAATTATGATCTGTAAATAAAATGCCGAGTTCAGAACTGTGTTATCAAAGTACTGGATCCTAGAAGAGAGCCAACCTATGAGACAGCATACTCAAACATATCAAGAGTCTTCATGCATTGAATAACTTATTTTATCAAAAGTAATTTAGATAATTCCCTTCAATGTTATGTTGCAAGGGAATGACATTGGAAAGTCCTACAAATCAACTCAGAGGTATGAACTATAGCAAAACTGTGTCAACAGTTTCAAATGCGCTATTTACAAATTTTACAGAATACAAATATTTACCACATTAATATTTCTTAATATAAGTGTCTTACAGTCTTTGTTTATAACTGCATTAAACAAATAGCCAAAAGAACCTGTGCTTTGGTTATGCATTGGATCAGATTCAGTCCCTCCCAACTGAGAACACATTTCCCGCTACCCACCATTGGGATGAATGATCAAAAAACAATCTATGTGGTTAACAATAGCTTAACAAAGTGCACTGCATTCAAAGACAAATAAAGACGACTATGCTGTTTTCCATTATTTTTCATGATTTGATGACACTGTGCTCCTTAGCCTCCTGTGTTTACTTAAACACATCATCAATCGTGGTTTTGTGCTTCTTCAAGTACTATGCATAATATATGCTCTTTTTTCAGGACAAAGTTACAGTCTGAATAGTGAGACAAACAAGATGTTACGAACAAATTCTACTTTTTCACTTATAGAAAGAGATGTCTGAAAACATAGAGCTTTTCCCACCTCCAAGTAGCTTGCATTAGAGGGAGCAAAAAGCAGAGCAGCATTTAAAGCATGAAAAATCCAAGGCACCTGCTGACCTC